GTTTATAGCAAAACTTATTGAAATTAACTTATTGCACATATTAAACCTGGAACTAACAAAGCTTAAATGATTGCGTATAAAAACAAGTCTTATGATTACATTTTTCCACAGGCCAACAACAGCTTAAAAAAAATCTATTTCCCTCAAAGAAAAAAACAAACATGCCCTGTTGTCGCAAGAAAAAAGGTGCAGAAGGAAACATCCATGTAAACTCAGCGTGCTGCTCTGTGATGCTAGTTGAAGCCAGATACTTGGCATCTCATCTTGGGTGCAAGTTCATCAATGTTTGGGGTCAGGCTCTGAGCTGAGGAGATCCTCAGGATTGAGTGAAGGTGTGCGTGCAATATACCGGCAGGAATAGTAATTAAAAATCATCCTGCGGGCCGAAATTAAATCCACCAAGGTTCTGATTTGGCCCCAAGGCCTTGAGTTTGACACATGTGGTCTAATGCAATGGATTTCTACCTGTGTTCTGGTCAAACCTTAGGAATGGAGAATAAAGAGCAGCAGGTGGACAGATAGAGACAGGGGAGGATTGGCTTGGAAGACAGAACAAGGGGTACAATGTGTCATTGATCTGAAAGCCTGCAGTTTCTGACCTGCAGTTTCAGTCTAACCTTTGCCATCTTTAGTCAGGGAAGTAAAAGCTTTAAATGCACCACTTTCAGGCAAATAGTGTTACATTTTCCATTCTTCTTTCTGTCTGTTTTTCTTTTTTTTTCTTTGTGCAGCTTTGTTAGGTTTTTAGTTCATACTGTTTGTCATTTTAAGTAATCTGGCCTTCAGGTTTTTTTTGTAAGAAAAAGGAAGGGATCCATTCACATTGAGGAATATTGCGAAAGACACAAATCAAATATCTGGTCTATTATTTGGCCTATATTAATGTATCTTGCTCATCTGATAGTCGAGTGCATAAAACAGTTGCTAAACACTATACTAAGACTTAAAAAAGCCACAAGATGAGTTGTACCTACAAATACCGCCCAGGACATAATTCCTTGCTATAACTCAGGAACAGAAGAGGAGATTGTGACCATAACGCACAGTTGATCCGATACTGAATTGGAATTGAATCTTGGGTACTAACCTTGAAGCTGGGTTGATTATATGGATCCTCTGTGCTGCAGAGAGATGTGTATAAAGCATCCACATTTTAGAATTGTAGCTGCTTTGCAGAAACATCCTAAAGTCAAATGTATGTACTGTAATGGTAACAACTGTGTGTTTTGTCAGAATCGGCTTTATCGGACTAGCCTGAGAAGAAATGTTTATGTGAATTCATAATCTGTATAGCGAACAAGATCCTCTATCCTTAGACCCTTGAATCAGATGAGGAACAACTCCCAGGCTTTGAGCTTTCACCTCATCTGTCTCTCAGCAAGAAATGCTATTCTGCAGCAGCTCATTGTATCGAGGATGACAAGTGTTATCCAAGATGGCTTGTCCCTATATAAAGCAGTAGCGTGGCGTGGGGAGAAAATTAGGGGAAGCCAATAATACGTCCTTTCTTTTGGGTCGGGGGTGTGGTGGTCAATGTGATAACTTAACCAGATGAGTGATTACAGCACCCGGTATCATTTTACACACATTTGTATCATACAGATGCAGGACTTACACACGCCTGTTATCTAACCGACAGGTCCGCACGCACTCTCCAGCGCAAACTCTAATAAGCATTCATTCACAAACTAAATCAGGAGACCTTTAACGTTTTACGTCCAATTCGTTCCTTTTTTCCTCTCTGTACACAGCTCCAGTTTGGGCATCGGCCTGTCATCAGATTGTATTTTAGTTGCTGCTGTAGCGGAAGTTTAGTACAATTATTTTTATTACATACTCCAAATCTCCACCCTCCATAATTGCACTTGCTTGCTACTTTCTAACGGCGGTGAGAGTGGTGCAGTGGCTTTATCTAAGTTCTATCGATTAGATTTATGATTCGAAAATAATAAAGTAGGGTAGACATGTGGATATTATCCGACTGAACACAACGTGCATTTATCTAACAGGTTCGTTTTCCACTGACCTTATTTCGAGCTATTTTCCAAAATCCTATGGAGAAATCCCATTGCTTTTTTGTCGAGGGAAACCGAGCGCAGCTTACTTCCGGGTTTTAGGATGCGTCACTGCCACACTAAATGTATGCGATTTGATTGGATTGTGAGGCAAGGGAAGCCAGCCGCCTCTGGCTTCCCTTGGCATGGCCCTGACTAATCACAGGTTGGCAGGGGCATGACGTTAGCCTTGTCTGATTGGTCAATTCCTCCATTTTTTTTCACCAAGGGAAGCCAATTTCGGCTGGCCTCCTCTCGCAACAGAGAGTGCAATCTACTGTTTCACCATAACATCTAGAGGGGCGCTGTTTCACTCTTTGTAAAATACTCAATGAGAATGGGGGAGAGACGGGCCGGCAGCAACACTAGGGTTGGGAACCGAAACTCGGTTCCAGATGAGAACCGATAAGAAAATGCCGGGTACCGGGTACCCATACAAAATACACAATTTCGGTTCTGCTTAACGGTTCCTAAACGCGGTAGACCCTGTATTCCAGCGGGTCCGTCTGCACCGCGGTGCTGCGGTGACCCGGTGGAATACAGGGCGGACCTGGAGAATCACAGAACGGCCGGTCGTCAGCGGGCCGTTGACGGCCGGCTCGGTACGCTGACGGCCGGCACCGCCCTTCATTTTTTTAAACGGCATCATATAAATTGCGCTGACAGGCGACAGAGGTCCACAGTTGCCCCGCAGCGATGCTCCCCCGCCCTCCCGTAGACATTTCACGAGCTCAGTCACTTCATAACACCAAAGATAGGTCGCGGTAAACACTCTGAAGTGAGGCTCCACTACACTAAAAAAGAAAAAGAAAAGGCAAAGTGTAATGCCTGTTAATAGCTTGCCACAGGCATAGCTCAGTTAAAATAAAGCACAGCTATTGTGCAATACATTTGTATTGCATGTATATTTTTTAGTAACAATTTCAGTTAAAGCTTTTAAGAATAAATATATTTTTGTTATCTAAACGTTTGACCTCTTTATTTTACAATTTTGGAATCGAAACGGGGAATCGATAAGAACTGGAATCGATAAGCAGAACCGGAATCGAAATCGGAATCGATAAATTTCAAACGATACCCATCCCTAAGCAACACACAGCAAAGAATTTCCGAAACTAAACGAAGTGTTTTTATTAATTTATTACAATTATAACTACAATCCAAAAAAACAGGGGAAGCCTGGCTTCCCTTGGCCTCCAGGAGAAAACGCCACTGATATAAAGAGAGCTTAAGTGTTGTGAGTCCAGTCCAGTTTTGTATTGATTTGAACCCCATGGTACCCTGTTTTTCTGGATGACAACCTGGCCACCACAAACTCATTGGTTTTGCTGATTTTAGGCTTTTGGTGACGTCCCTTGAATAATGTGACAAAGCTCTCTGTAAATATATTTCATCATTTTTACTGATGACTTCTATTTTGCCAGAAAGAATACACTCAACACCTTTTATTAGAATTCCTCAAAGTACTAACTACGTACTGTAACTGTATCACACATACATATACTGTATGTCTCGAGGACATGGATGCAAAATGGAACTTGATGGTTGGCAGTATGCAACTCAAACAAGATGTTCGGTTTTGTTATGTTTGAATTTAGCACATTTTTGTTTCATTGCCTGGAGGTGATGCAGACAATAACTCAACAGCTTCTCCTTGTGGATATTGTGCTTGCTTTCAGTAAGTTCAAACCTGGAAAGTAAACACTAGGAATGTGTTTACTATCTGAATGAAGCAAGAGATCATTTCAGAAAACATTTCTTGCATGCAAAAACAATGTAGTGTATTAAATCCTTGAATTAACCAATTTGGCAGAGAAATAGGCTACACATACAGTAGCACTAGCGAGCACACCCAATTCCACATTTAAACTTCCCTAGTTACAGAGATACACACACATGCACGCACTTGTGCATGATTCTGTATATTGAGACACAATCTGAGCCGTGTTTGAGTTCAGGAAAAGAGACTTTCTTTGATGGTCCCTGGGGGAGTTAAGCAACACGTACACTGTAAAAAAAGATCGTAATTTTACAGGAAATAACTGTACATTGTTATAGTAATTATCATGTTTTTTTAAATAACTTGCAAAATCCTGTAAAATGACAGATATTAATTATGAATTAACAACCCAAAACATTATTTTAAGTATTTTGACAATAACAACAAATAACGTTTATTTCCTTTTTTTTACAGTAAATTTACTATATAATATTTACAGTATTTTTGCACTTTCAGAAAATACATGCAGATGTACGTAAAATAAAAAGTATTATCTGTAATTAAATATGTAACTCGTAATATAAAAGTGTATTACCATTATAAGACTTTAAGATTGTCTTTGTAATTTTAAGGTAAACATAAAACTGTAAAAAAAAGCATCAAATAAAAAAAACGTAAAATGTAAGTAAAACATTTTTAGTTACATAAATCATTTTCTCAATATTCGATTGAATCCACCACAAACACAAAATATCCAATGGTGAAACAAAAGTAAATAAATATGTTTTCATGAAATTCCTAACTTACTATATTGTAAACATCTACAGTTGACAATATCATTAAAAAAAATAAAAATCATAGAAAGTGGAGAAATCTCTGCAGGGAGGACCAAGGTTTAAAACACACACTGTTATTTACTCAACAATAAGTCACAGTTATCCTTGTTTTATTTATGTTGCTGTGTTTTTTTTTCTCTCCCATTGGTCAGTATACAGTAATACACCTTAGTTTTACAGTATAATGTATGGTTTTCGGATTCTGGCCGACAGCCCGACGGCACTTGAAATAGAATTCAGCCAAAACACGGCAGACAAGTCAGGCATGTTTGGAATGAGTCCACAACACTCCTGATTGGTTAATATAAACGTATCGAAGAAACCTGCCAATGAGAACTGTCCGCGCCTGTCGTTCACATTTGAAACATCAACGTCAGTTTGAGCGGATCTCCTCCTGCGAGCTACAGCTGTCTGTATGTCTGCTACAGGAGTTTATGGATTAATATCGGGATCGTTTTACATCTACACATTAAATATGAGCATCGGGACGTCAACAAAGAACAGAATACTTGAGATCTGGTGAGTCCTGCAACTGTAATGGAGTTAAACATGTATTTAGATAATCCTTAGTTTGTGAATGTTTTATTTTTTATTTAAGGTTACGTTTCTTCTTCTAGTTAGCTGAGTTTCTTCCCGTTAAGTTGGTATGCATCATTAATAGGTTGTTAAATGTTAAGAAGCCCTGAGATGCTGTTTCTTGCAAGATGTTGCTCCCGGGAAACCCGGCTTAACATGTGGCTGCTCAGGTGAGTTTACGTCTCCAACACGGGAGAATTAAACATAAACATGCAGCGGGGTGTCACAGTGTTGTCGCCAAGTTTAATGTAAAGTTTCACAGCTTTCTTACAGCGGAATCTAGTTTGTTAATGTTCAGTAGCCAACAGCTAGAATAGCATAAACAGCTAACCGCTAACGTTCGGCTAACTTGCTAGTTAGCTCTGCTCTATACACGCTAACATGACTTGCTAATGTCACACTGTGTGAACTAAAATACTTATTGTATTACTACATCATACATGCTTGGTCCAAATCACTGCTAAAATTAATTATTTTTGAAAATGTATAGTAAAGAAACACTCAGCCATGCATGAAATAACATAGCAAAGGAATACGGGTAATGTTTGACCCATGTTGTTCCTTAGAAGTGTAGTGATACAAACATGATTTTTATTCAAAAAGTAAGAAAGGAAAAATAAAAATTAGAATTGGTGTTGATTCAAAACAGGTTAATTGAGGAATACCTGGAATCCTGAATGGTTAAAGTAATTTATTGCAAAGATATTTACAATTAAAACTAATTCGGGTCACTTTTGACACATGTTGGTTGTATGTTGTGTAACAAAGGGTTAACATGACAGCTGTGATGTTCACTCTTTTGACAGAGCACCATTGGACAGTAAGGACTATGGAAGAGAAGATGTGATGGCTTTGTGTGGAAAGCTGCTGACGCCAGCCTGTGTCCCTCATCAGTCTCTCCAGGCAGCACCCAGCTATTCTTCCATCTTGCAGATGAAAATACTTTGATAGTGAGTAATAACTAACTTGTGTCTAACATAATATTGAATGTGGTTTAGTAAAGTATTTAAAAATACCCCACATTGTACATGTACAGGACAATCAGACCTTGTTCAACAAAGATCATCAGACAATTGTTTTGTCTTTGAGGTACAGCCGCAGCAGAGTCTGAGTTTGAAGAAAACACTAACATTTTATTTAGTGTTGTTTAATCATTCAATATTTACTGGTCTTGAATTTCCTCACTGGATTACAAAATGCTCGAATCTTATTGTACAGGAACATTATGCAGATTTAATCACCTGAAGATGAAAATATAGATTCATCGATATGTATCATTTTAAGGAAATAGGCTGTTAGTAGTATTGACCGCAGCTGTAGCTAGGCGCTGCTAATGAAAACTCAAGTGCTCAATTTGTTGGTTTTTCTTTTTTATTAAGAATTGACCAAGAATATCTTCCTCTTCGAAATCCCAGTTGTACTTCGCTAACACGCAGTGCCTGGGAGGGTGCGTTTGATTGTTCCCACAATAATGCGCTGGGTGAATAGTGCTTCAAAGGTCCATCATACAAGATTTAGGGGATCTATTGGCAGCTGCTGATAATAACATCCATCATTATGGTTTACTAATAGTTATCACTTCACTTCCTCCTCCAGCACCTGGACACAGCAGGAACCTACGCCAGAATCCTGTTAGTGGACTTCAGCTCTGCCTTCAACACAATCCATCAGGACCAGAACCTCTCTCCATCAGGACCAACACCTCTCTCCATCAGGACCAACACCTCTCTCCATCAGGATCAGAACCTCTCTCCATCAGGACCAACACCTCTCTCTATCAGGACCAGAACCTCTCTCCATCAGGACCAGAACCTCTCGCCACCTCAACAAGGCCCCCCCCCACTGACACTTTACCTCAGCCGCAACGCAGACTATGCATTATATAATGGAGATCACAGGATGGTAAATAATGCAATGTTTGAATATTGCTTACTGCACATATTTTATATTCTATAATTTATTGCATTCTATTTCGATGTAAGTTACTGCTTTATTTTATTTCTATCTTACTATATTTTTATTACAGTGTTCTTAATATAGTTCGCTATCTGTGTACTTTTAAAAAAATGTTATTTGTATGTACGACACCTAGTCAAATTCCTCGTACGTGTGAACCTACCTGGCAATAAACTCGTTCCTGATTCTGATCTGTTTGTCCTCTAGGTTGCACTGCCACGTCGACAGCATGGAATGGACCGAGGAAACATGATTGGGCCTCAAGTTTTTTGCAGCCAATATACAGTATCCTAGAAACTTGGGATAGGAGGGTGAATGAATAAGCTATCCATTGGTTGGAACCTACATCCCCATTGTTAGATGTACTAAATCCTGCACACTGCTCCTTCAAATGGACGATGTGAACATATGTCGTCATTTTGCAATTTCTGTTATTTTCAGTTGAGAATGTTTTAAAGTAATCTTAAAAAATTAAACTTACTTTTTGTTTATACTGTTTATAAGTATGATGTTTAAATATTAAATGCTGTATTCATTAGTTGTACTATAATTCTACAAATATTTTAAGATTTCAGAGTAATTGTTTCTTACAGAACATTTTGTGATGTCATTTTGTTGAACCTGTTTGAAAATGTTAGAAAAAAGCTGTAAAATAACAGTATTCTAGCTGTAGAACTTTAGGTTCTGTATTTATTTTAGTGTTTGACAAATTTAATTTAAAAAAAAATGTAAAAAACTGTTTTTCTCATCAGAACTTTATTTAAGGTATTTTAATGTAACATTTTAAGACAATGGATTTTGAAAAGAGAGGAAAGTTTCCTCTAAAATCTTTAAGTACAATTTCTGTATACTAATTACTTTTGCACGTTATTTCAGTTAAAGTATTTTTACTTTAATTTTATGGTTTTTGTTTCGTCTGCCAGTCATTTGACCGTTTTTTTACGGGTTTTTTGCCCGTAGAAGTATTAGTGCTGTACTTTTATTAAAGGTTATTGACTGTAAAAAGAGCAGATAAATCTGTAGAATTACAGTGTTTCCAGTAAAATCTTTAAGGACAATTCCCGTAAATTAATGGCTTATTCACTTTATTTCAGTTAAAGTATTTTACTTTAATTTAAGGGTTTTTGTTTGGCAGCCGCTGCTGCCAGTACTTTGACCGTTTTTTTACGAGTTTTTTTTTTTTACAGTGTAGGATAAGGTTGATCGTTTGATGCTGTATTTGACTGAAAGTATTTGTGGGAGTGGATGTGGTTGGTCGAAAATGTGCTCTTATTTGAAGTGTAATTGAGGCAGTTGAAATGTTTGTGCAGAAAAAGGCTGCAAGGCAATATCAGTGAGCCCTTCATATACTGCAAAAGTCGTGGACTACCAAAGCTTATTTGAGATATTAATCGATCTTCAGTTTATTTTTAAATTAATCATTTAGTCGTATTTAAATAGTGGAGGGTTGCCATCAGAAGATACCATGAGCAAAAGGGATGTCTTTAAAGCACATAGGAGTTTTTCTACATTATTAACGTTTTATGAGTTTTAGCAACAATAAAGATAAGAATCTGATATTAAAAAAAGCCTTAATTATTATTTATTAAAAATGTATATAGTTGACAATTTAAACAAAAATAGAAGTAAAGGTCGTTAGGACTGGCTCACTTTATGGCGCATTGCCATTACAGTTTAGGAACAGGGGTAGTAACTATAGTAACGCAGTGTAGGCGGAGCCGTGACGTCATCTTCAATGAGAACCGCAGAAAAACAACACAGACGTTAGCTGTTAGCACTCAAGCTCACAGCTCCTCATATCTGTTCAGAAACTAGACAAAAGTTAAACAAGTACAAACCACAGACTGTCTGTGTCATGGTGAATACAGTCGCTGGTTTATTTATGTCTGTTTAGGCCATTGTTGTGAGTGTGGACGGCCGGAGCATATACTGCGTTAGCTTAGCCGATCTCCATTTAGGCAACACACATTTTAAAAGGTTTTTAGCCTGCCGTCTGTCTGCAGACTTGTCAAAGCGAAAGCATTAATTCATGGTTTTTATTAACCGGTATCAGTATGTTGCCAGCGATTCTCTCTCTAATTTAGCATACTCAGCCCGACTCAGCCTGGTTGTTGGCCTGGAAATAACCTCGATTTTATGGGGTCAGAAAACTGTGAAATAGTACCCGCTAGCCGGAACTACGCCAAGTGGAAACGCAACCAAAAACGGGCTCGGCACGCTTAAAGCGAGCTCCGCGCTGTAGTGGAAATGCGCCATTAATGATCTGTACCCAAAGGAAGTAGACGTTACACAGACATATGGATGCCACTTGAGAGAAAGACAGAGCACATTTTATTAAGCTACCTAGGTAAAAACCGAAAGTAAATGGCAAGAGTCAGATGTATGGAAATCCAGACAAAGTGATAACTTACGGGACAAGATGGCAAAGACAAAGAGGAAATAATATGTATGAGATTATAAGAGCGACAGAACGGAAAAAGGACAGGCCAAATAAAAGACAGGAGAGGAGGGTGCTGGTTTATGGGGAAGAGATTTCCGAGATAACTGAATAGAACAATAAGAAGCAGCGAAAATGATGCCTCAGGAATGTAATGGTCCACAATAGAGTCACAGAGAATTTTACAGAGAGGATTCCTTGGAGGGACAGACAAAATAAAAAGGATCTGAAATAATGTGCAGCGTGTGATTGAGGGAGGAGAGAAGATTTCATTTTTAAACTGGAAAGAATCAAATGAAAATTAGCAGAACAAGAGCTATTAAGTATTGGCCATATAGTGAGAAATGGGGGGGGTTATTCCTTAAAGAGAAACTGGGGTGGGGAGACAGTTGTAAGGATGGTCGAGACAGAGAAAAAAGAATGAGTCAAAGTGGGATTCAGAAAGCGATAGGGAAGAGGTGGGGGCACCCCTTCCGCTCAGCTGTGTGTCTTGGCCGACTGTGAAAAGCCGCTCTCTTCCTGTCAGCACAGGAAGCCCACAGGGCGCCTTTGTGCCAGAGTCAGAGGGAGAGACAGGGACAGAGAGACTGGCGGACAGAGATTTGAATAATTTAGTTGACTTATTGATGAACTTAAGTTTCTGAAGGTTAAGTGCATTGACATTCAAGTTACACTGGTTTTGCTTTATTACCTCTCTCAATGTTGCTGTTATTTGTTTGCATTGCCAATACCAGGCAAGTATCATCAACTAATAAGTGACTGATCGGTGTTTGTTGGATTGATTCACAGTCTAAATGGCTACAAAGACTGCATGAGGCTGCCCTTAAGAATGACAGAAGCTGTAAAGCTAAGAGATTATTCCCACAGCCCCCCTTCTTCCACCTGTGCCTATTTTGACCAATAAATTGAATTATAGTGAGGCTTAACTCCAGGCCTCTGATTCACAGACAGTCTATTGTCCTCTTTATGGTCACAATTTGCCCTGATGCCAGTCACCGATGAGTTGCCAAGGGTCTGCAGCCATGACTGGTTCTCCTCCAGGGAGATGACTCTTTCAGGGAAATGAGAATATCTTTCATTTAACTTGTTTTTGTAAGTAATTGAGCAAGACGCATATACTCAGAAGAACTGGCTCAAATAGCAGAGCACAGCTGTGTGTATACTAGCACAAACATGTGAATCATTTCTCCTGACTCATTCAAACACTGGAATGAATGAGCCCAAATTGTACATCACAAGAATACAGTACAGGCAATCATTTCACTTTGTATTGTTTATTTTTTTATTTAGACAAATTATTGTTTAAACATGGTCAATCATCACTGTGGCTCCTATTGTATATATGCATTTTTGGCCTTATTTTTTGGATGAAAGTTTTAATTTATTGTATTTAATCTCCAGAAACAACCAGAATAGGGTTAATGTAATTGGTTCAACCATTGAAAACAACAACCATATTATTGGAGTTTGTAGAGAAAGAAGCTGCAACTGAATGCATTTGAGATCAGTTTCCTTATTAAAAATATTCTCCTTAAAGTATGACTTAATTCAACTCAACTCAGTCTGTCCGTAGCGCTGTTATCCCACATGCATTGGTTGTGTGAAAGGAAATAGGACAGAGACAGAGAGAGATAAACATAAAGACATGACCTGGAAAAAGTAAGCATTGGATCTGATTATTTGTGGATGTTGTCATGCTTGTTTGTGGCGGTGTTTGTTCATGACTATGTTTACATTAATTGCATTCAACAGCCTGTTCCACAGTGCTATAGCGCATATATCCTGCTCCATTTACTGCATGTTCGTCTTGTCTTCTGTATGTGGCGTAGCTTGATATATGTCTCAGCAGTGACATGACTCCAGAAATTAGAGTAATTGGTAGCAATCTGTTTAAAGGTGAAAGGGCACGAGAAGGAGCAATTAGGAGAAGGGAAATGTAAAAATGAGGAAGAGATGCAGAAAAAGCAGAGATAGGAGGGAAATGCTAAAGAGAGCACTGCCCCTGAACCTAGAAGAAACCCTGCACGGAAGAGAGATAAGCAAGAACGGATCGGAGAGAGGAAGTGAAGCAGTGGATGAATAAAATATGTTCCACACTTATCAGGAGTGAACAGAGATCCAGGGATATACCTTAGGTTTCCCAGGCATCCCTTGCTCCTTTGTTTAGCTATAATTTGTGTCCATTCCCAGCAGTTTGTGGTCATTGTTTTTTTATCGTTTGGGTTTCCTTTGTTCGTATTTTCTGCTTCTTCTTTACTCCACTGTCTTTTTTTTCTGTCCCCCCCTTCATCTTCTCATTTCCCACTCATCCCTTGTTCCTCTAAACTACTATTTTCTACTTTCCAACTCCCCGCTCTACTTTTCTCTCTATTATCCTTACTCCCTCTCGTACCCTGTTTTGTTCTCTTTATTCTGTTGTGTTCTCTCCTTTTGTTTTAAACTCTCTCCCGCCCTTTGAATCCATTCTTTTCTTTCATCTTATCTTTATTCCCATCTCGTATTTTGTATTCTCTGACCCATTCCAGTTTCTTCTCTCATTCCTGCTTCTTCTTTTTCCATTACTCCACTAATTCCCCTCCCCATTCTTGACTTGTCATCTTCTCTCCCCTCCTCCCTGTCCATTGATACAACTACTCCACCCCCAACACATGTCAA